CCAAGGTCTCCCCAGCCACTACATCACCCAGGCTGGGCTCCCACTTGCCACGCTTCTGCCAACCTCCCTGTCATGTTTTGGCATGACAAGCCTGGCCTGTGCCTGCGCCCGGCCTCACTGTCCTTTCGGTGAAACTCAATCTGAGAAAAAGACCAAAGCCCCTCCGATGGCTGTGGGGAGGAGACTGGCGTGGGGAGGGCGGTCTCGGAGCCTCGCAAGCTGGGTGATTCAGAGCAGGGATACGCGACTGCTGGGACGGCAGAGAGCCCAGGACAGGCGCCCAGGGGCTCATTCGCCAGGAGATCTCACCCGTGAGGCTGTGCTTGCCCCCGGTCCCCTTGCAGGGCTGGGCTGCTGACCGGCCACGCGGACCTCAGCTTGCGGTCCAGTCAGCCAGGAAGTCAAGGAGGAGGCTGGAGCAGGGCCGCAGACCCTCACAGTTTCCTGGTCTGAGCGTAGGCTCCCCTGGCTGGCCAGGCGAGCACCGCAGAGCCAGAGACTGACCTGGAAGCCAGCCAACACCTGAGACAATGGCTGCACGGCACTGCGAAGGAGCCAGGGGCTGCCGAATGGTGAACTTTCAATTGGGCAGAAACCAGGGTGACGACACCCACCTGTCATCTTTGCACCCCGGATGCTGAGGTGGGAGGATCTGAGTCTGAGGACAGCCTGGGCTCCACAGCAAGACCCTGTCTCAAAAGGTCAACAGTTAAAAAAAAAAAAAACGAAGACACAGAAATCTCAACAGGGCCAGGGAGAAAGCTTGGCATTCTAAGCACCTGCCTAGCAAGCACAAGACCCGGGTTCAACCCCAGGTACCGCATAGCGTGCCGGCTCCACCCTGTGCTGGCCAGTAAAACTGGGCTTTGTGGCAAACTCTGTAGTCCCAGCGCTGCGGAGGCTGACACAGGAGGATGGCTATGAGTCCGAGCTCAGTAGCGAGACCCTGTACCAGATACATAAATAAGTAAATCTTTAAAAAAAAAAAAATCGGCAATAAAATAAAAGGAGCAGAGGGAAAATGACACCACCCCAATTGAGGAACGGGCCCTGACTGACCTGGTTAGAACTCCCAGCTGTCAAGGTGATGGAAGACACAGGAAGGCTGGGAAAGTCACTGAGCCAGAAACACAGGGCCAGAGGCTGCAGGTGCTAGGACAGATAGAGACACTGTGGCCACTGAGACGCATCCTTGGTCCTTTTGAATTTTTTTATATTTTTGAGCCAGAGTCTTCCTATGTGGCTCAGGTTGGCCTTAAACTTACTAGGTGGTCCAAGTGTTGAGACCCTCCTGCCTCAGCTTCCTCAGGGCTATGATTATAGCCTTGTGCCACTATGCCTCGCTATTTTTTTCATTGGAGGACAGGGTCTGACTCAGTCACTAAGCTGCCCCAGCTAAGCTCCAACTTGCCCTCCTCCTACCTGAGCCTCTCAAATTACAGCCAAAAACACTATCCCTGGCTTTGACAATTAATGCTTTCTTCCTCCTCCTCCTCCTGCTCCTCCTCCTCCTCCTTCTCCTCATCTTCTTCCTCCTCCTCCTCCTCCTCCTGCTCCTCCTCCTCCTCTTCTTCCTCGACCTGCTCCTCCTCCTTCTCCTCCTCCTCCTCCTGC